CGGATTGGACCAGTAGATTATGTCTTCACTCCCCATCTGTTTCATCGCACCTGTTTACTTTCAAGATTCCCTCAAAGATATAGCAACTGCACTCATAGTGCGCGTCAAGGGCTCGATGATTTGCTATTATCATCCATTGGACGCGTCGGGTGACATATGTAAGTCATGATTCTTTTTTCTTCCATTGGTAGAAAGAACTAAAGTCTTGCTCGCGTTTGGACGCACTTTATCATAGGTCAATATCTGAAGATGCAGGGTCCTCACTTGGGCCTATCCAGCAAAGTGTTCAAGAACATTCGGCTTCTTGACTTCTGCATCTTGCGATTCAAACGAGGCTGGACCAGCAGTTCATCCCAGCCACCGACTGCCAATATTTTGACTGGCACTTGGCACGATCATGAATATCAAGCCTATCTTGACAACATGCAGCAATCGCACCTGAAGTGCCCACAAATGACTCAGATGGCATATGTGAGCTATAGCATAACGTTCTTCTATTATCAGAATCAAATTAACTTCACGTTCTACTCGGACGCGCTAATTGTGATTGAATTCTTTTGAGCATCAAAGTTACGCGTGATAACTCAAGTTCATCATGTCGGACATGCAAACCTATTCGATCAGTCACTCAAGACAAGCCGACATAGTTGCATCTCTTCAGTCATCTCTGGCTGCATCCACTGTGTACAGATAGAATTGTCAAGTCGATCTTGAAGGTTTGTAATTTTTTTGGTCCCACATCAGAAGGACCACAGGCTCGAATTCAGTGCTTCTAATTCATGATCGATTAATTTATTCCTGGTCTGAAAGTCACTCAGGTCTATCTTGACATTCCCTTTGCTTTTCCCCGGTCCACATACCATCATCACCTCCTCCTTTCAAGGCATCGTGTCGATAGGACCTAACTTGCCAACCATGGTTCAGCCTGAGGCAAAGTTTCCTTTCCTATCGGCACTTGAGTTTTCTATATCAAGCATCCAGTACATTCGATCGTGACATCAAGAGTCATTGATTCACCATTCGATTGGGAAGATATCCCGCTGAAATCGACAGCTTCCGAAACAGCTGCTCGGTATTCACGAAGCACAACCCCCCAACTGACCCCGACAAGCAGTCACATCAAGGGCGGGTTTACTTGCAGTCACAAGAAGATGGCCAGGCGCAGGCGTTTCTTGAGGGCGTTTGGTCAGGAGTCGACTTGTGGGGTCATCTCGTAAACCTTGCACAAGAAGATGGCCAGGCGCAGGCGTTTCTTGAAGGTGTTGGTCAGGAGTCGACTTATAGGATCACCTCTTAGAGGTATCACAAGAAGATGGCCTGGCGCCGGCGTTTCTTGAAGGTGTGGGTGAGGACTCGTTTCATTGGCACTAGGTCCGATACGCGACCTCCACATATTTGATGGAGAATCCGCCCGAAGAGTCTTCAAGATTATACGATACTTGGTCGTCTCCGATACTCTCCAACCATTCCGATGAGCGGCAAGAGTAGCGATTATACGACGTGTCGAACACGACGAAGCATGCATCGCATGTGCTTGGCAAATATCAATGCCTACGTCGCCTATGAAATGCCGACCGAATCGACAGTCAACGCGACTGGTTTTTTGATCGATAGGCCGATATGTCGACAGCGGCTTCTCTTTTTCAAGATCATCATCGTAGTTTGAATATCTATTGTAATCTGGCTCCGCTCTCGGACAGCCCTACCTAATCATCCGATCGGGATATCGCACTAATGACTGGGGAATGGGGTTGGAAACAATCTCATGAACCGGGCTCCACAGTGTCGATTACCGTGAATGGGTGAAGAATAAAAAAAGTTCCTTCATTGCGAACACATTTTTCTTGATTGGTCTGATCACCAGGGGGCCCCGATCCTATCCCTCGGTCAGCAGCGAGGAGGGGCGGGGGTTTCGTTGTTTTTCTTTCTTTTTTTTCATTCTTATCGCTTGTTCCCGACAGTTGTTTTATCCAATCTGAACACATGTTGCCTGCCGTAATAAGATGTGTTGTAAAAAAACTATATGTTGCAAAGAGCAAAGATTAATTGTCTTGACTGTGTTTCGACATGGGGGCTTCCCTAGGAGACTGCTCTCCTCGACAAACCGGCCCATATAGCTCATAACAAATACGAAAGATTTCTCGTTTGGAAAATAAATGTCAGATATTTACTGCTGCTCAGAGTCCTGCTGGATGTTTTGATGGGACAAGTCAGGAGGACCGGTCTTCAAGCCACACAAAGATAACCATCGTCAATCGTTCATCAAGGCATGGATTTCACCCAAAGCTATAAGAGTACAGTCTATTGTTAAAGTCATCGTTGAAAATAGAAGCTTTGTCGGCAAAGAAAGAGCCGAAGAAACCAGTAAAGATCAAACACGGCGTCAGCCAAGTGGAAGACCCGACAACAAACGATTTGGAGGACGCAGTGATCCTCGACTTGCTAACCCGGGACGGAAAATCATTCAGAGATACGTAACCATCCATCCTGATGGTTCCTCCACGACAGTCGAGCTGAAAGAATCTAAGACAGCCCTACCCGGCGAGTCCCAATTCCTTCAACTGAAGGGTATGCCGAACTCTCTTTGCCCTGTGAGGGCTCTCACCCGTCAAATATCTACCTGCGCCCGTGACAATCACTTATTTGGCTTTCACGAGGACGGCAGGCACGTCGCTTTGACAAAATACCCCTTCAAGAATCGGCTTGCGATACTGTTGGACGCTTGTGGTTTCAAAGGCCTTTCCGGCCATTCATTTGGTCGGAGGTGCTTCTTTCCAGAACGCCCTGGGAATTCCCCCGGCTCATATACATATGCATAATAGGCCACTGGGCTTTTGCAAGTTATAAATTGTACATTAGACCCTACTCAGAGGAAGACCTATCTGAATCTCTACAACTGATTTCAAGGCTAGATTTGCAATGGAGACTAGCTTGATTTATGATTTAGCAAATGAGTGAGTGTCGAACCCAGGACAAAGTTTGGGGGTTTCGCGCCTAGGCTCAGGCTTCTAACCTGAGTTCTACAGTGGCCAAACCCATCCTACTGTACATGGATTTTGGGGTTCCAAAATGTTTGGAGGAAAAAAATCAAGAAAATCTGCCCTGGGAAAGGCAGGATCCAAGGAAAATTCAGGTTTTGGGGCTTGAAAGTTTTAAAAATTGTGCAATTTTTGCAACTTGTTTGGAAAAAATTACATCCCAGAGTCAAATTACCATGTTTGGCAGCAACAAAAATGCAATCTAGGTTATAATTTATGCACATATGTTTGGTGGGAGAAGCCATACTTATGTGTTATCAGAGTTAAGTACATGAATATGAGACTGTAGGGGCATTTAAGCGCATGGATTCCGAAATGTTGACCCCAAATAAAAAGAAACTTTTTTGTTGGAGCAGTGGGGGCTTAGCCCTTTTATCTATGGAAGCTACTGCCCTCAAAAAGCCCAAATCTACAATAAAGATGGGTGATGGCCCCCAATTGCAACAGGCCAATTTTTTTTTGCTGGTGATGGTGTACAGTAACATGGGTTGCACCACTGTAGGGTCTGGTGCAATCCCCCACACTTCTCCTCTCTGTTTCAGGAAGAGATCCCCCTCTACCATTTAGGCCCCCCTCACGGGTGCAAATGAGTTTAGAAGGTGGTCTCTCCCAAGACCCTTGCGCACCCCTCCTGAAAACCCTAAAGAGATTTAGGGGACCAGGATTGGCTGCGGGTGGAGCTGTCAGGACCCCAGCGTTCCCAGCTACTCCTGGAACCCATGCAGAGACGGAACCAGTGTAGATGGATTGGACTCAGCCGTCAAGGGTGTGCCATCAGCAGCCGGGAGCAATCCTCCCAACCATTGGGGGTCTTTTTGGTTTGCCAACCCTCAAAACTAAACCCAGTGGGCTTTGGGGCATCAACCCGCAGGTCCTTTGGGGGTTAGTATGTTTTTTTATTTACAAATTTTGGAGATCCAACTCCCAAACCCACTGACGGGTTTGGGGGATTGACTCCCAAAATGGTGGATTTTTTGGGGGTTTTGTGGTTTGGAAGTCAACCCAGAAGGATTTCCTTCAGGTCAAGAACTCCCAACCCCCCCCCCCCCCCTCCCAGGCATGAGGGGTGGTTTGAGGAGCCAACTCCCAAAACACATGCAAAATAAAATAAAAAATTAATAATGTAAATGGATGGCCAACTCCCAAAGTTGGCCATCCATTTGGAGGAGAAACTCCCAATGGACATCCATCAACGGTATTTGGGATTCATCAACGGATATGTGGGAGTTTTCTAAGGCCCTGTTTTATATCTTTCAGGACAGACAGAGCCCCAAATGGCTATTCCATCTGAAATTTATTCTGATTGGATTTTACTTTGTAAATGCTGATACATTAGCAGTACATAAATATGTGTATTTTTAATAAAATCTTACCAGAAATATATGATGCCATTGGAAGACCTCCCTTTGATTTTACAGCCCCCTGTAAAACTATTCTTACAGGCTGCCAGGCTTTTTTCCCAGCAAAGTCTTAGCTTTACCAAAGTGCTCCATTGGAAGTCCCACACATATAAGGTGAGGTTGCAAAGAACATCTGTAACTAGTGAGTGGATCACAGCACAGAGTTAACCTATTTCTGTTATTAGTGAGTGAATCACAGCATATAAGGATCAAGCTGCCCTTCCATCACTCAAGCTATCCCACCTTGTGCATATCCCAAGGTTGAACCTGAAATTAGCAAGTCTGTTCTTAATTTGATCACTTAAGATCCCCCGAGGGTTTGAGTTGAGAATTCCTTGACAGGTTTCCATTGATATCAGATTTGATTGACGGATGGTCAGTTGTTTTTGACTGTCAACTCGAGAACCCTATAGGACAGATTGGACTAGATACACATTGTAGCCCCAGATTGAATTATTTACAACTAACAAAGTGTCCGCTTCAAAAAGAAGAAGAAAAAAAAAAAGAAGATCTTCTAATATGTGCTGGTTGATTGTAGATGTTCAATTTGGGATTTTGGGAATAACGAGAGTTTTGGGGTCAGTCGAAATAGTTGGAAATAAAAAGAAACAAACAAACAAAAAGAAGAACTGTTATGAAAATGAAAGTCGATGAAAATAAATGGAATAGATGATTGAATGATAATGATGAGCGGATTAAGACGATACACAAATTTCCCACACATGAAGTTCCATTTTTCAGGAACAGGACCTCAAAAAAACAAAAATCTAGCAAAACTTAATTACTCCAGAAGCATAATTTGTTTGGTGGCGGTAATAAGAGAGTCAAGACTGAGAGGATTTCGATTTGCAGTTCAATTTTCTCAGGTGTGATGAATGTTTCCTCTGTTGAAGACCTCCGCGGTCGATCCGGGATTAAGTGGACTGCGAACTGGCTGATCGGCAAGGAAAGATCGGAACCCTCCTGAAGACTCAGTGCCTGCCGAGTGGATCGGGTCTAGTGGAGCTGGGTTCACCGAAGTTGGATTTGTTGGAATGGGGTTTAATGGAGTTGGGTTTGTGGGACTTGGATTGATTGGAGATGGAGGTTCAGTGTCTACTGGATGAACTTTTGCAGAGGAAGGATTGGATTGGCGAAGTGCTTTTGTGGTAGTAGATGATTCCTTGACAAGTGGGTCGGCTTTCTCTGCCAACTTGAAGTCAGGGATAGTTGCTCGGATGTTACCTGGAGCATTGAGCTTGAGCCAATTGACGAAATCGACGCAATATGACGATCGGATTGCCGCAACTCTCTTAGCCATCCAAGTCATCGGCCAAAATGGAGCCTTCAAAAAACCCTCTGTGATGCGTTTCCCGTTGGGATGATTCCTCCATATCTTTTGCCATCCTTTTGAGACTTTTGAAGTGAAGGTTACCTCTCCAGGCTTAGGTTCCGGAAAAACCCATCGCCATTTATCTACGAAGATTTTGGAAGCATAATGGCCGACCAGTGTTTCTTCTTCTTCCCATTTCATAGCTTCTAGTGCAAACTCATTCGTCTGGACCCATGTTTTTATATCGCCTTCGCCATATTTGAAAAGATGAACCAACATCTTGTTCACTGTAGCCTGTCTAATCCATTCCTTGGCCCTGAAGTGGAACGGATAATCAGAAAGTGGTCTGACTGTTGGTTAAAAGAAGAACATTGGATTTCAAATCAGAAGGTTCAGAGGATCAAATTTAGCCCATGCTTGTTTGAAAACTCAAGTGGAAGTGTTAACTGGATGTTTTGGACGTACTCGGTAGTTCTCTTGGAGGCTGGTAGGGGGTGTCAAAACACTTCAGTCAAATCCGTAAATCATTTTAGAAGTTGAAGGCACTCACGAGAGGGGCTTCACTGGTCGGGACTGGGGGACGTAGGAGAAAGAGTGAGCAGCTAAATCCAGGGAAAAAATAAGAATACACCTGTCTTGATTTGCGGACTTACTAATATGAGCTGGCTCTACGGGCTGAAGGAGGATTGTCAGTTCAGGTATGGATGGGGGTACTGAGTCCAGGAGCTGAGATCACTTACACCTTCACCCGGTTTTGGCGCTTCGACTTCTTTAGGCTGAAATGGTTCGGTTGCAGGGTTCGGTGCTTCCTTCTCAGTTCAGGTATGGATGGGGGTACCGAGTCCAGGAGCTGAGATCACTCACAGCTTCACCCGGTTTTGGCGCTTCAACTTCCTTCGGCTGAAATGGTTCGGCTCCAGGTTTCGGTGCTTCCTTGGGCTGAAAAAGTGAGTATTAGCGAAGGCTGATTATTGACTTCTGGGTCTTAAAGCACTTACTGCGTCAGTCGGTTTGGCTGATTCGAGTGCCTTCTGGGAATTGGATGATTCTGCCCCCCCGGCGCCTGGTGCTTCCTTTGGCTAAAAATCCCATTTATTAGCCAAGGATTGGGGTTGGATTCTGAGTGTTCGATCCACTTACTGCTTTGCCCGGTTTTGCTGATTCAACAAACTTTTGGGGATTGAACGCTTCTGCTTCACCGACGCCTGTCACTTTTTTGGAATCTAATGAATTCTGTTGTTAAAACAATCGGCTGATTAGTATGAACTTTACAGTCTGTGGAATTTGACAACTGTTGATATTACATGGATCACTAACCTGTTGAAAGCTGCCGGTCGAACCCTTAGGTTTCAGAGCTTTTGGATCATTGTTTATTGTCATTAGCTTTGCCCAGGTTTAGATTGAAAAAAATGGATGGAAGGATGGGAGAAAATTAGTTACGAGGTAAAGAGCCATCCGACCTGAATGCTGTTTTTTTTTTGTGGATTCCAGACCGAAAAAAGACCAAAGTTGCCATTAGCGCTTCCATTTTGAGTTCGCAATTGGGGAGGAAAAAGGAAGGAGAAAGAAAGGCTTACCAGGCATTGACTTTGATCGGCCTTTTAAGATAATTTATTTGATTCGTGCAAGATACATTAAAAAATATTTGTTCATGGAATCGAAGGTTAATCAGCCCCTATCCTGGTATAATTTTCCTCAGATTGTCAGCTATTTTTTTTTTTTTTTTTAAGCGTACCGAGAGTGAGGGCAGATTTTTGAGGGTTTGCAAGTTCAGCACCATGTGCGCCGACAGAAGTGCCGGCGGTAAAGCTAGATTTCAACTCGTTAGCATCGCGAAGTGCATTAGCTCCAGCAGTACCGCCTTTGGCAGCTTCGGCGAATGTCGATGCATCCTTGGCCCCATCAGCCAACTTGACGAGGTCCGGGAGGAAGGCTGGGGCTGATTGCAGTTGGATGGCTTGGAGGAATGTCACGAATAGTATTGGACCGATCACTGTTTTCTTCATCGTGGACCTTTGGTGTGCGATTCAGTTGAAGTGGGTAGCTTCGGACAGTTATTGATACATAATTGTCTTTCTTTCGGCGGGGGAATGGGACGGCTATGTGGTCTCCAAAGACTGATCAAGTGATCTTCTGGTACAGTTTATCTCTTGGGCCGATGGATATGTATTCTGCAGTCGTGATGTGGATGAGGTGGCATCAAGGAGCTGCTTGACAATGAAACCAGGGTTTGGTGCCACTATTTCCACTCTCTGGGGAAGGAGGCGGATGTTGGTAACTTGGGTGGACCAGGTGAATGTTCCCAAATGTTCAGCCAGGTGGATCCACCAAGCTGCAGTATCATCACAACCATCATCATGAACAAGAAATCCATGGATTGTGATTTTCCCGGTAAATTTATCATTGCATCGCCTTATGGGGCTATGTGCCGCCATCTGAGGGTTTGCTTGTCTTGAGGAGTTCCAACCCATTCATCGAAAGTCACTCATCACCAAAATAGAAGGTGGCCGAGCCAACAGCTTCGGCAATCCATTGGCTCACCAGGAGGGCACCGGTCCGGGCCGAGGCGCCCGAGCCTAAATTCAAGTCCCTCTCTCCGAGTCTCCTGTGCGCGGAGTGGCGAGGGCCTACTCACCATGTAGGTGACCGAAATATAATCGGTTTATAAGAATTCCAAATAATAAAGCCAGACAAGTTGCAGTCCATAACTTGACTTATGTACTGGACTTATTGAGCTTGACTTTTGTTACATCAACTTGCGCAAATGGTCTTTTCTTAAAAGTATCATAGAACATTGCAGAGTAATACACCTTGTACCATACACATAAGAAACATGCTTGTCCGCTCCCGTTTTACAAAATCTTTGCCCACTTCCTGGATCGTGTAAACCCAACACCCATTGTAAAATCCAAGTACTCTCTCATCCTGTGTGATAATAACCCGAATCTTTGGTTTTTATTTATACTTACTTACTTGAACGGCTTCAAGCAGGGAAGAAGCAGGGAAGAAAGAATAATCCATACATATATATATATGAGAGATATCTATCTATCTATCTATCTATCTTACCAAAAAAGAAAAACGTAAAACCAAAAGATAAGATTTTTTAAAAAACAAAAAAGGGGAACCGAAAAAAGTGAGTTTTTTTTTTTTTAATTCTGAAAGAGATGAAGAGAGCGTTAAGAAGGAGCGATAGGAAACACAGAATGATTAGAGAAAGTTTGAACGACAGCGATTTCAGTAGTCCAACAAGAAGAAGTGGAGTTCGAAGACAGACTACTATCTGACAAAAGAGCAGGATTATCAAGAGTCGTAGTGGGAGGCAAAGAAGGAGGAGATTTTCGGGACGAGTCATCATCATCATCATCTTCATCTTCATCAGAAGAGGAACAAGAACGAGGACAAGTGAACACGACGATCGTCCCGAAATCCATCTCTTCTTCTTCCTCTTGCTTTTCCTCTTTACTACAATCTTTTTTATCGGCTTCTTCTCCATCACTTTCTTTTTCTTGAACCGAAGAAGAAGAAGAGGACGAAGGAGAAGAAGAAGAAGGATGGTTGAGACTAGACAATAGGGTCGGAATGATCTGGAATTCGGCGGTTCGTTGTGTCCCACACCGTCGACAGATCCGGTCTTCTGACAAGCTTTCTCGGAGCTGAAGGGGCGAGAATTCGGTGGCCCAAAGCGGCTCGATCTCGGGAGTTTTGACGCGCAAATATCTGGTTGATTCCAGCACCCATTCTCATCAGATTTTTTTTTTTTTTTTTTAGAAAAAGGTTATGTGACTCGGGTGAGCATGAGGAAGATGAACTCGGTGAGTTTTTCTGACCTTAGAACTTGCGTTGGAGCGCGAGAGATGCGAGCCTGGAAATTCAAAAAGCCATCGTCGACTAACGCCTTGGTCTCCTTGAATGACGCGTCTTGGTCTTCTTGTCCCTTACTGCCGATCCCAGTCGTCTTCGGCTGCTTCTTGGAATCGAGCTCGAAGTTCTTCTGCTGATCTTTCACTATCCCGAAGTTCCAAAAAACATCGATCAGTTTTGTTAGAAAAGAAAAGAGCATGAATCTCCGGCCGTTGAAAATGTATACATAAGGGTTTGTTTTGTAATCTTCAAAAAAAAAAAAGAAGGAAACAAGACCAACTAACAACCAAGAGATTCAAGCTGCCCAGCGACCGAGAGGTCCGCGGGTTCCAGGTCACAGACGATTTCCCATTCACGAAACGAGGTGCGATCTGAGACTCCAGGAACCGGCGGCCGGGCCTTAGTGTTTTTCTTCTTCTTCTTCTTGTTGTTATTAAGTTTAGGAGAGATAGAGGGATTGAGCTGAGGGAGTTGAATCCTGAACACTTTGACAACCGAGGTGGAGGTCAATGTTGGCGAGTTGAGCGAGCGTTTCAGACACGAGAAGCGGGGACAGATGAATACGTATAGCGTCCGGAAATACGCGGCTGGGTTTGAATCATCTGGCGCATTTAACTAATCAAGAACATCCCCCCCCCAAAAAAAAAAACCCCGCTGTCAATATCAGATTCGCCCAAAAATAGGTGGTAGGGCTTGGTGGTTTGAGTGGGTGGGAGGAAATCGCTCACTTGCATCAAGAACTTCATTGGTAATTCACAGGAAGAACAAACGCTTAAAGAAGGGTCCAAAGGGTTTTCGGGATCGAGCCAGATCTGAGGGGGTAAGAAGAATGAGCAAGAAGGTTATTTAGAGGGAGAGAGAGTAGGATGCTTACGGGTCGACCGCCGACCTTTCCGGTCATCGACCTAACGTCCAAGGGCCTAGAGATTTTCTGAAGGAACCCGAGTTCGACGCGCTCCTCCTCCTCCAGATCGAGATCGTCGTCGTTTTCGAGATCACTCTCGGAAGAAGAAGAGAGTTCGTCGACAAGGTCCGATCGGGCGCCGCCAGAGAGCCGGAGCGGGGGACCAAAGGTCGGACTGCCTCCATCAGCCACCATGTCCAGATCCAAGATCCCTCCCGCATCCGCTACATCCGACCTGGGCGAGTCCCCCGTCATCTCTACATCCTCTACCACATTCGATCCCATGTACTCATTCTCTTGGAATACCGTGCTCGCTTCAAGAAGCTCTGCCCCAAATAACTCGTTGTCTTTCTTGATCGCTTCCTAAAATGGCATATATACATAATGTTAAAAAAAACGATCTGGGACGGGCGTGGAGATTTTTGTGTGAGCAAAAGGGAGTAGACTGACTTCGAGGGGTGATGGTAATTTGATGTCCAAGGAATCCGCCGGAACGGGGTCTTCGGAGGAAGGTTTGAGGACATATACGGCGAAGATATGACCGCTATTCATATGAAGGCCAGCAGGGTCAGAAAGCACCGTGTCGAGAGAGACCTGAAAAAAAAAAACCGAAGCAGATGAGGGTAAGAAATGGCCCCTAAGAGTATTGTTTTGAGCAAGAAGGGGAGTACCTCGGTGACAGATTGGTCGAGCGACTTAAACCAGCGTCCGTCGTCGGCCTTAATGTAAGTCCACATGTGTTCGCGTCCCGAGAAGCCGTCGGAGACGACCACAGCAGCGAGTTCATGAGGACCGACCCTCTTCATCTCGTCGACATCGAAGACCGCCTTGGCCTCCGCCAGCGCCGTCTTCGCTCGCTCATCCAAACCTGTCTCACACATCAAACTTTTATCGGTTAAGGTGCGGAGAATTGAAGATGGCTCATAGTGCTTACTCGTTAGTTCGGCCTCTAGTCGGGCTAAGGATTCTTGGAACTTCGGTAGCATCTCTTTCTTCTTCTTCTCTCTTTCACTCAAGCTAGGCGTCAGGAACTGACTTTCAACCGACAGATAATCGATCGTCGCTTTGAGCGTCGATAAGAGATCTTTATCCTGGATAATAAATCATCGTTTGAGGAAGTGTTTGGAACCAAACAAAAAAAAAACAGATCGGATAAGAAATTGAAATGGTAGAACGAACGCCAGCCATAGCCAATTGATTACGTCTAGCAAGCGAGACGTCAGCCTCGCCCTCGATCCTGGAGATTTCGTCACGAAGTCTAGCGATAGAATGTCGATTCTGGAGGAGATAACGATCGACCCAAAAGGCGGGATGTAGTGCGAAAGGTTTCTTAAGCTCGTCACCAAACAGCCCATTGCCATTAAATGAAGAAGAGGAAGAAGAGGAGGATCGGCGATCGATCTCGAAGGCGATCACTTGTGAACTTCCATCCAAGAAATGCGCTTGTCCCATCTCCGGTAGCCATACTTGTGCATCGATACATGCATAGATCTCGTTCAAACTACTCCCGCTTTCGACACTCGCATTCAGCGTCAAACTGGTCGTCGAATTGTCGGCCGTGGACTTGCTGATCTCTTTCCGGGTTTTCTCTTCTTCTTCGTCTTCCTCGGGTAATGGGAGCGATAACTTATGTCCCTTCCAATGGAATAATCTAAATCAATGAAGAAACATGGGAAGGAGCGGGGGGTTAAATTTGTGTTCTGAAAGGAAGAAAAAAAAAGTGAATTTAGATAGAAAGACCGACCTGAGTTCATTTTCGTATTCGAGCAAGAGTTTCTGATCGATCGAGTCAGAATTGTTAGGAGCATTGACTTTGATCGAAGCGAGTTCACGCCAAGCCTCGGCGATAGTTTCGTAAGTGCGATGACATCCCTTGTTGGGCTCGTTGAGCGACCAACTGATCATCTCACCTTCCTCGTATCCGAGTAATAATGACAACTCTTGGACATCTAGGTAGGCCCTTTTGGTGTGACTCATTGTCGCAAATAGTCGTTGGACGGCTAAAATAACTACAATGATAGTGACAAGAACGAAAAAATGGTTAACTGGTTAGATCTTCGTTTTTTTCTTTGTATAAAGAGTTGTATGCAATATAGTTCTCGTTGGTTATACACACTTTCAGAAGCCTGTGGTTTTTCAGCCCAATTCTCGCCCGACCTCCAACTACTTTTGCCGTTCCACAGACCTTCAAGATCGTGATCGATGAGCTGATGATGGACTACTTTGGGTGTCGGTTGGAAGCGCAAGATGCGGTCCCGGAATGGCCGAGCTGCATACATAGCCGAGAGGAGACAAGGCAGGAAGACTAGATGTGGGTTGTGGACTCGGAGCGCTGTAGGTCTGTTTCAATTATGTAAAAAAAAAAAAGAAGTTACCTCCAAGAAGCAAGAATCTAATTAATATTTATGGTAGTGGTTGTGTGCTAGTATTGTGGAGTGACCTACGTTCCGGGTGTGCGTTGGCGTTTGCTGGGTGGGGGATGAGAGAACTTGGCATCTGCTTCGAGGGTGCGCGAGCCGCTCATAGCCAAGCTCTCCTCGAGCGCCTTACTCATCTGTTCGTCCTCGGCGGTAAGATCCTTGAGTGAGGCGGAGGGATGATCGAGGTTGGGAATGTTTTGGGAGGGTTTATTGAGGGCGGGGTCCGCGGCCAGGCTGGCCTCGATGGCCGCATTGAGTTCGGCTTCGTAGCGCTTCTCGGGACTGTCATCGATCAACTGGATCTCCGTCGAGTCTACGCTGTTCTTGCTGGTTATTGACTGGCTTCCAGTGGCTTGACCCGCAGTGGTTGTGGTGCTCATGGGCCCTTTGAGCCGGTTGCTCGTGCTCGTCGAGCTCAGATGGAAGGCTTGATTGGACGAACGGAAGTCTTCGGTGGGCGTGGTTTGGCCCGTCACCGTTAGGGGTTGGTATGAGCCTTTGGGTGGCGAGTTGGGTAGTACCAGTGGCTCGCGGGCTTCGTTGGTGGTGTCTAGGATCGAATGGGTTCCGTAATCTGGCTGGGTTGGTTTGCTGATCGATGCAGATATTTATCAGTATTATTATTATTTTTCCTTGTTCACTTGTTTTGGGCCGATCAAGATTGCGCTTACTCTGGAGGTACTTGGGACCAATCTGTAGTTAAGAGAGACGAATATCTAAGTCAGTTTCTATTCGACTAGATATGTATTATATAAAATCAGTTCTGACCGTGATTAGCTGATGGCCATGGGTTTGATTTGATTGGGGTGGTAGTGAATGCATCGGTGATGGATTGTCTGAGTTGGTCCTGCTGTTCTTCGCAGTTTCCTTCTAGGATGTAGTTGAGTGTTCGTTCGAAGTCGTTGTTGTTGAGTAGGAGTGCTTTGGTGATCGTTGGTTCGTCTATTGATTCTCCCATGACTTCCCTGATTCGATTGATGTTTTCGGTTTGTCGGTATGCCATCCTGAATGGTTTCTGTTTTTTTTTTTTTTGGTTTGCAAGTGAATGTGTTGGTTGAAGTTGAAGTTGAGGTTGAGGTTGTTGAGGATGTTGGTTCTGTTAATAGCAAGCCAACCCAGCCACCGCCCACAGCCAGTTTCCACTCTAAACAAACAAACAAACAAACAACTCAAGCAGCTTGTCTTTATCATCAAGCATCAATCACCATCAACTACTAACTTTCAAGCTCAACAAGATACCATACTGCTCTGGGGCAATCCAAACCACACTTGCTTTTTATATAATGCCCTGCCAAACAAAAGTGGGACTTTCCTTCCATCAGGAGTCATCCTCAGTTTTCCATTTGTATTCAATTTGATCAGCTAGTGCTCAACTCTCAGCTAGACCCTTGAAACACTATAGAGAAGGAATACACCTTCTCTCCATGAGAATCCATTTAGCAGAATAGGTCTCAAAAAATGATTGTGAATAAATAAAAACAAAAAACTGCAAGGTTTAAAATTTGGTGAAAAAAATAAAAATAAAATTGATTTTTTTCAAAAGCTTTGATACTCAGTTTGTGGAAGTGCATGTGAGTGCTGAGGGATAGCAAGAATGGAAACTGGGAAGAATGATTATAAATGAAAATTTTGGAAAAAATGGTTACCAGATGGTTTCAAACAGATGTTGAGTGGGACATTCACTAGCACACATTGTATGATTGTGCCGTGGGAATGCACTAGAATTTACTGTTTTGACGACTATCTGAACAACCAACCTGGCTCAACCTTTTTTGATTCCAATTTTTTTCATTTATAATAATTCTTGCCATGTTCCACTCTTTCTTTCTCTCAGCACTCCCACTCCCCCAAAATGAATATCAAAGCTTTTGGAAAAAAAAAAAAAAACAATTTTTTATTTTTATTTTTCACAAATTCTGAAAATTTTTTTTTTATTTTTATTTTTTCATATTCATTTTTTAGGACCTATTCTGCACCACTTGATCAAGTCTTGTGACTTCAACCTTGTGTGTTGAAGCTCTGGAATCCAAAACAAGCAGCCAAAAATAACAGGGCATCCACTGTACTTGTTTTGTATTTGTTGACCAGGGTGATACAATGTATCCAAATACACACATACTCAAGACAAAATACAATACAATTTAGTGCAGATACAATACATGTATCGTATTGGTTGCACCGTTGCTGCACTACAGTGTGTTATAGCGGTTTTTGGGCTGTTTTGCTGCTAAAAGTGCTGTAGCGCAGTGTAGCATAGTGGCACTAACAGCGCACTAACACTACAGGTTTGGTGCACTGTTTTGAGGGCCACTACGCTAACATTAGTGGGCCATTTAGTGTAGTGTAGCAGCCCAATGTTGGGAGTTCACAAGCATGAGAGGTGTTGTTTATCTCAGAAATTGAATTCAACATTGGGGCTTTGCTTCTTGGGCTTCTTTGCCTTTTTGTTATTTGATTCTTTTGAAATTGTAGAGGTGTGATCACGAAATTATTCATTGTATTTAGGACAGGGACTGAGGATATTGTAGCAGCAAAGATAGGTAAACATTTTGTTTTGAAGTTTGGTATGTGAATGAATAGACTAAAAGTTTGTATTTCATAATTACCAGCTAAGAAATACAAAGAAGAAAGAAGAAAAGAAAGAAAGAAGATAGTCACCTAAAAGCAGTAGATGGCTAAATAAATAGGACAACAATATATCTTGATGTGACAATGAGAGAAAGATAGAAGAGAAAGCTAAAAAAAGCAAGTGGATCAATATCAGGACACTAGTGAGAAAAAGACCAACGAGTACCTACGATGATTGAGGACAGTAGAAGAGGATAAGTGGTCGGCGGAGTTGTCAAATGGAAGGGATTGATTTGATCCAGAGATCAAAGAGGATGAATGATGAGGGTAGGAGGAAGTTGTTTGATACAGGGATCAAAGAGATGATTGATGATGATGTTGGAATAGTATTCCTTGTCTTAGCCCTCAAAAGAGGAGATTGTCAGGTTAGTTTATCTTATTGATAAACTTCCTGAAATTTAAAATATCATCACGCTGATCATTAAATTTCTTGATCATGTGTAGAGTTCAGCTGTTCTATAAGAGAACAAGACCGAGCCAAGCTTTTAGCTTGTTAATCAAGAGATGATGTCAGTGAGGTCAAAAGCCTGAACACAAATGATGATCGTGATCAATCATTGAGCTCTAGGTGAGTCTCGATTGATTTGATCACAAGAGCAATAGAATTAGAAAAGATCAAAGATCCCAATTCTCATTTTGATCTTGCAAACGATTATACTAATCTCGTGCAGCTTAATCTCATCAAAATTAACATCAAGTAAACTCATCAATTGTATCTTTCCAACTTCAAGCAGTAAGTAAGAAGTGTTAACTTCTTATGCCTTTTTCTTTAAGAAAGAAAAAGAGAAAAACTAATGTGATAAATAATCATCGACAATCATGTATTAGATCCATCAAACAATTACCACTACTCAAAACTCTAGCTTAACGAATTATTATAATTTTGTTCAGAAAAGTAAAGTACCTTTCACTGATTCCGGCGTAAGAATAACAAAAGAATAATTCAGAAAGATAACTAATGATCTATAAAAATTTATTTATCTTTAGTCTCTTTTAAAAGAGCAACTTAGCCAATTTATTCTTTCTCTGTTATCCTAGCACCGTTAGTAGAAACAGCAGAATAATTCTACCTTCAGGTATTTTTACTAGTTTCATTTAACTTTATAATATATATTATTTGTCATTTGTTTAAAAGAATAAATACTTATAACGAAATGAAATACTTCAGTTCCAAATTCTTTCAGATGAAAGTTGTGATGTAATGTTTGTCTTTTAAGAGAATAGGACGAGTGATGATTTGGGATAAGAATGGCGCGGTCAATTAAGAAGATTGACTGTGGAGGAATGTGAATTGGAAGGAGTCCTAGGGAGAAGAATAATTGATGAAAGAGAAGGGATGATAAAGGAAAGTAGGAATGTACAATAGTGATGTCGGAGAAGAGTGAGAGGGTCCAAGCGCAATGATGTCATTGCATGAGCTTGATGAATTCCAGAGTTCAGGCCCCATGATGTCATAAATATTTTGGTCTTGGGTAATCAGGTCGTCTAGCGCCTTTAGAGAATGTGTGAGCTGAAGCTTAGACCTCAACATGGTATAGAGTTCACACTGGGTTGAATGATTGCTTGGAACGGCCAGTCCAACAGTCCTCAAACCAGCCTGTCCAACAAGTCCTCGGACCAGCCTGTCCAACAATTCCTCGGACCAGCCTGTCCAACAAGTCCTCGGACCAGCCTGTCCAACAAGTCCTCGGACCAGCCTGTCCAACAAGTCCTTGGACCGGCCTGTCCAACAAGTCCTTGGACCGGCCTGTCCAACAAGTCCTCAGACCGGCCTGTCCAGCAAGTCCTCAGACCGGCCTGTACAACAAGTCCTTGGACCAGCCTGTCCAACAAGTCCTTGGACTGGCCTGTCCGACAAGTCCTTGGACCGGCCTGTCTGATGAGCTCTCGGACATGACTGTTGAACAAGACGTTGGACTTGCCTGTCTGAGGCTCTGAGCAGATGACCGCAACT